GTAAAAAATCTAGAAGAATACGATGGTCACGTCGTTTTTACGCAATACAATACGATATTAACGTGAGATATACCAGCTTTGAAAAGAGAAACGTTTTACATGGAAATTCATGAACTCGCCTAACCCTCCAATTTTCACGGTTGCCATGAACAAGAAATCGTCTTTTAATTTCGTTCTCATTAAGTCGAATCTGACGCCGAAACAGACGCGCTTGTCTGGCTCGCGGTATAATTATCATGTCATTATTGTTATCAGGACGCGGCTGCGAGAACGCACTCGACAAGTAGCGATTACAAGTAGCCTTTGTTTTGGGAAAATCGTACAGCAACCAAGCCGCGCGATATTATTCAAGGCAAGAAGATCGCTATCTTGAAAGTCTCTTGAATTTGATAAAAATGCATTCACTTAATTAATTTAATTTAATTTAATTCTGCCTGTAAAACTGTTATCCATCCGTTGATCCGGTCAACGACCTAGGTTAATGACTGCTATGTGTATTTAATAACCGTTTAAATTTCGAGGAGGAAGAAAAATACACACGCTAAGAAAAATAATATTTTTGCGTCAACAAAATTCCAATCTTTCGCTAAATTCTAATACATTGGTGGATAAATTTCACAGATTGATAGGATAAAATTTCAATAGATTGATAGAATTCGACCGATATTTTTTTTTTTAAAAAAAAAAAAAAAAAAAAAAAAAAAATGCTCGGAGCCTTCGGAGTGGAGGGGACGTTGAAGAATCGTTCTCGTCCGCCATCGACGCTCTGCTTTGCACTTGAATAACCCAATTTCGGGATGGAGCAACCTCTTCGGGGCATCCACCGGCTACGTCTGCAAACAATCCACTCGACGAAGATTTACGAGCTGAATTTTATCGCGCGCGCCTCACATTCTTCGCCCGTTACATACGTGCCTGCCGTGAAACTTCCTTAACGCGGTCATACTTTCTTTTATTTCGCCCTGAAGATTCTTAAAAGAAAGAAAATCGTGGATGAAAGCGGGTTTAAATGCAAGGGGATATAAGATATAAGTTCTTGAAAGGTACGGCATTCGTCATGGATACGCTCCTTGCAATACAATGATACGGAGATCGATGTTATTAATGTCTTATGAACATCGCAGACATGTGACTTTTTATATATAGATTATTACAGTTTCGTAATAACATAAGATAATTGCGCGATCTTTAACTTAAGGGATACAGAGAGATACGAGATGTGCGTGTGTACCGTGAAAAATTTTCTTTTACCACTTAATTACACGCACGGTCGAGTTTAGGGTCAGGGCAACGGCGGGAGGGAAACGAGATCATGAAATGAATTTCACGGCGCAGTGCAGCGAAATCCGTTCTTAAAGGAGGTCGACACCGGGGTAGATGAAGAAGAATCGAGTGGAATATTAAGATTAGAAAAGAATTGTGGGTTTACCCTACTTTGCACCTGAATGACCCAATTTCGGCGCTATTGCAAGCCGCGTCTTACCTGCGTTTGTAGGAAAGTGATCCTATTTACGAGCCTCAATAGCGCCGCGCGCCACGCTCTTTTGCAAATGAATGGGAAGGCGACACTTTCTCTTTCTCGAAAGTCCTGATTTTATCCCGGTGACCATCTCTCGTTGACTTTTTTATTTTCAACATTTCATCCATTGTGAATCCGACCGTGCGCGACTTGCGGCTCTCGTCACAATGCAATTATGCGGGTTGCTCGGTCGCGCAAGATTTCAAGGGAGAACGCGACCGATTTCGGGCTGTCGCGTAAACGAAGCGTTTACAAGCTCGCCTCTTCAATGCCCGACTTTTTGACCCACAATTTAAATCCGCATTTTCACGTCGCAGAACATCGAATTGCGATGCATCCCCCGTAAAGATAGATCGTATTATAACGCTTCAATTTTTTTTCGGAACGTGGACTTTACAAATATTTAATATGATCTATTGCATGGAAAATTTAGAGGTATATTATATCCTATGCTATACAGGGTGTTTAAAAAAAAGCGGTAAAATATTTTAATATTTTAATATTTTACTAAATCCTCTTAAAATATATTACCTTTTTTTTAAACACTCTGTAGAAAAGCTAGAGAATTTGGAGAAGTCTGAGAACTTTGTTAGCAAAATACTGCGTAATTTGTTGAGCATGATATTATATTATGTTGTCCGTAAAAAACGAATAAGCAGGTTTAAGAGTTATTATCATGCACGGTGGGCATCTACATTGTGTTGCGAAAAGAAACGCTCTTAAGCTTCTTGACATTGAGATGGATACAAAAGGCAATTTTCACAAGACAAACTTTGCGTCGTTAGTAGTACAAATGTTGATTCATTTTTCAGTATGAGTCAGCTGATTCATTTTTCAAAGAGATTATCCGGATTAGAGTGACCGTATGCCATTAAAGATCGTAGGTTTTTACGTAAGACAGAAGACAAAATGTTATCTTTTATGAAAAGTGAATTTAATCGACAAGACTAAAACTAAATTAATATTTCGTAATTCAAGCGTGTGTGCATGTGTGTGTGTATAAATGCAAATGACTATTAAAATCCTGTAGAGATTAATATTCGTAATATATGTGTATAATATCTATTTTAACAAAATGACATATTCATTCCGAATTTTATAAATAATTTATTATTTTACAATAACTACTTGAAGTTTCTCTCTCTTACAAAAACAATGTTACGTCATCTCTCACACACACGTCCAGGCTTCTTTAATATACATACTTCAAATTTTAAAATAATGTAACATTGATAAATCTCTGGTAAAAAGATAACAAAACATGCAAGCTCAGATACATATAACTTAAGGATATATTATTTGAATATAAGATGACGATGCTTTATGAAACGCATTGAAATTGAAAAAAATATAGAGAAAATATAAAAAATTTCTAACCTGGATGGTACGTAACCTATATTACATTTTTAGATAGTTTAACGTGCATAAATTATAATTGATGCAACTGCGTAAATATTACGCCTCTTAGACATTAGATCTGCAAATAAAAATTTTTAATTGCTGGAAATATGTGGTTATATTACAAGGATATCTCTGACAATGTGTGTATCCCGCCAAATGTAATATTTTATTTTTTGCAGGAACCTCCGTGCAAGATTTGTTCTCGTCTTACTTCGCCGTACGCTATCAATTCACGCACTCTGAAAAACCTTTATAATTTGCCTGTCAGGAGACGAAGGGAGTGCTGTGAGCCAAGTAGATCTAATGCGAAAGTCGGTACGGATTTGAGATCCGAATTTGATTCACGTTTCTACAATGCCGATCCTGTTGTAAATAAAATTCAGGAATCAAGGAGAAATGTTCAGGATCTCGATTGCTCAAAGCGTGACAAAGTGATAATTTATTAATAACACGAACGCCTTGAATAAATATGAATTTGAAAAATAACAATGGATAATTTGGAACACTATATATCCGTTATAATATTAAAATTTAGAGAAAGATTCCACGGGAAGATGCATTGGAACCGTTGGCGGATGCCGGGATAATTGATTTAAAAAACGTTCGCGACACAATAGACAACTGTTTATGGGAAATGGGAAAGATAAAGACATTTTTGGAAAATGAAAATTCTTGGTGGAAACTTCTAAAGGCGCGTTCGACTGATTGTTGCCAACGAAAATTGCCACATCTCCATGGGGTTTTAGATGGGTCATCGGTTACGTTAATATTGCTCGAAGAAGGGACCGAGCAGGTATAAAAATTTCTTTTAATCTCTTACTTTCACCGAGAACTTTATGAATTAAAAATCAATACAGTTTCCAAATTGCCGTGTTTAAATAATAAATAATTTTGCAATGATTTAATAAATGGTAAAGTATGTACTTATAACGTTTATAATTTTCTATAGCTCCCACGTCATTTTGTGATAGTAAAATCGCAAAAAAGAAGTGATGTTACCGGTTCCAATTTTAGAACTTCTTCGAGAGAATTGGAAAGACCTATAGATCCTTGGAAGGAGCATACGGAAGAGTGCTCAGATGCTTACATAGCTCCACATTACAATTTTGATATAAAATCAACGTTGATTAAAGTTGCAAAGTAAATTTTATTCTTTTAAGATTATTCGTGCGATTTTTTTAAACAGCTTAATTATATTAAATTAATATAGCTTGTATAGCCATTAATTCCTCTTGTCATATTTTGAACAATATTCGAAAATCATATCGATATAGAACCATACAATTATAGAAATCATACGATTATAGAATCTATTAAATTTTAATGGATAACGTATAAATGTTCTTGAAAAGATATTTTGAAAAGGATAATTTTTTTTAGTACTGATGGACATGAACCGACTCAACGATATATTAAAAGAGCTGTTACAAGTAAACAGAATATTGTTGCTTCCGAATTTTGGACGGAAACGCAGGAAAGTAGAAGCGACGAAGAGAAAATATCACCAGACATATCACCTACATCCAAAGAAACACGTGACAAAATGCAATTTCAAGATAAAAAAAAGGAGACTGACAGATCAAATAGTAAAACGCGAATATTGAGAAAGAAAAAGAATATAATTAAAATTGAAAATTACATACTATTAATATTAGAGATTTTTAGTAATAATGTAATGCGATCTAATAATCTACATCAAACTGATACTTGTATGATTTTCAGTTTTGCTACCGAGAGAAATATGGTACGGTCAGAACACACAAACAATGTTCGAAGAGAGATTAAAGCCCCGAGAAACATTTAGCAGCGAAAATACTGGAAAAAGAAAGGCTGTCACTGCCGATTTTGAATCAAATGTGAATTTAAGCGGGGTAAATAAAACTTATATCTCATTTGTAAATCTTATTTTCTGATATTTATCGATTATTACTTTCTTGCTGCTTCTAGGAGGTTTCATCCAGAAATATAGCAAATCATAAACCCAGAACGAAAACAATCATTGAAAAAGGCTTTAATCACATTCAAAAATTTCCAACAAAAATTTCAAAGGCTAAAAGTAGGGATTAAATAAAGGATTTAATATTGTATTCAAAGATTTAAGCACGATTTACCGATATTGTACAAAGAGAGATTTTTATATAAAATATATAATAATTATATTTCTGCATTTTATGTGACTTCTTGATGTTATCAGACATTGTAGATATATCGATTGTATTTATCGAGATTTGCAATGTTCAACTTTTAAATTCAGCTTGTTGATTTCATGTCTGCGTTTATAAAGCGACTTTATCATAAATAAAATATTCCATAATTTCGACCGCGTATCGCAGTGTTGTTAAGTTTTGCAGAAATTTCAGAAAAAAGGTTTGGAATGTATGTACACGTTCATCGAATAATGATAAGGTAAATAATCAGATGATAATTAGGTTATCACTTTATTCATTTTTATTCGTTATTAATCATTATATATCTTGTAAACTTATATGTACATAAATGCAAGAAAACCAATTTTTTGTTTTTTAATTTAGACACGTAAAATGGAGAAAATTCTTATAATAGCGAGGAGTCCGGCTCCTGCTAGTTACCACGGATTAAAAATGGGCTCGAAAACTTTTGTAATTCTTCGCGAACGAGCGATACTGAGATCTTCGCTTTCGACTCCGAGCATCTCGTCTAAAAGAATGAGCTAGACATAAAGAACTTTGTAAGCAATTTCCCGATTATAAAGGACAACAAAGACAACATTATAAAACAAATCGACAAGGACAGATCGGAATAATCAAACGAAAGCTTCAAAAAGATGATGTATTTACAATCGATGAAGCAAGACATTCGAACGATCAAAGACAAAATTATCGGAATAAGCTGGAATAATAAGAATAATTTATAGAAACATCGTAAAGTTTAGAATGGAAAGGAAAGAGAAAAAATCGACAGCTTTCAATGAATCCGTTTGTATCTTGAATTTTAAATCATCCGAAACGTTTCTTTTTCTGAAGAAAAAGAAAAGTATACCGATAATTGAGAACGAGCAATGTTCAGGATCGTGCAAGCCTGTAGAGAGGATTAAGTCATTCTCTTTTAGAAGCGGATGTTCGAAATCATGCACACATTATAGAGAGAACAAAGATAGGTATATATAATTTGATTGATGATTGATTTTGTCAATACTGATTAATTTCTATCCTTGTTTAAATGATATTGTTGCCTCTTTCTGAAATTCTATAATTGTAACAACACACAAATAATCAATTAAACTAACTAAGATTCAGACAAATCGACATTTTTTAGCAACTAATAATATTATTAATTTATTACTTTTACAATTTTTAATTATATATATTTATGATTGTTTTAATAGATCATAAAAATATATCATAAAAATGTAGAAGAGAGAGATATACATATATGCGTGTATACATATTAACGGATACAGAAATTATCTTTACACAATTAGTTCGAAGATGGTCCGACCGCACTATCTTGTATTTTATATATTTCAGAGCTCAAACATCGGATGGCAAACCGCAAATATTGCGTGAATCATCATCTCGTCAAACGAAATCCGATACAAAGTCCGCAAGAGAACTGTCCGACCAAGTAAAAACAACAATAAAAGAAACGTCAGAAAAATTGCAGGTTTTATTCTACTCCTCTTCATCGCCGAAATATTTTTGCGCGAACTCAAGAATCTTAATAAGAGTATCTTTTGACAGAGCGTATTGCCGTTTCTTGGGAGGACGACAAAACATACCTTGGCAAAGATGAAGTCTTTGTATAAAAGCCTCAAGACAAGACGAGTTTTAGGATTCAAATGCGATTTAAAAAAATGCGATAGTACTTTAATGGAATGTAGTACGAGAGCTTGTAAAAAGGATAGCATGGTTTTCGGTGAGTCAAGTCATTCATACGATTTAAAAATGACCGATCCTAGCATTAGCGACACTTCAACAATATCTAGTGCAAGCGAAAAAGCTCGAAAATTTTAAGCTTTTCATGATCTATATATATTTAAGATTATTATTTATCGTTAAGTTCGAATCTGGTTTCATCAATTTTATTTATCAGAAATTTCAAGCATTAACAAATAACGTTCAAAATATTCTGTCATTTAAATTATATATAAATCTTGTCTCGATTAAAAATATAAATTGAAAGTAAAAAGACAAGAGTAAAAAAAAAAAATATGTATAAATTTTTAAAATAAGATGTTAATTTTATCAAAATAATTGCTACTTGATGATTGATTATTTAGTGTCTACGTCTTATGTAGTTTCGTGTGGGCGCTAAATAGATGTACCATTGCGTATACAGAAGGTAAATCGACTTTTATTGCTTTATAGCGCTTGTAAGCCGGCTTCCTTTCAAGCCGCGCATATAATCTAGATGTAAAGAGATCTTTATTACGGTGCTATTAACAATCAAAGACACCCAGCTGGCAACGAAACTATACGCTAATAGTCAAATTTGATTAGGATATTTTTTGTAGGCTTTGTGAATAATCACTTGGACAATTGTGCGCGTGATAAAAAAATCTTAATTCGGTCTTCCCAAGAAAACGCATAATTCGCGATTCTACATCGTATTTGTTATAAACATCTTAATGCTGCTGTGTCATAAATTTTTATCGAGTACCAAAAATATGGTGATTAGAAAAGAAATACACTTTATTACAATATAATTTTAAAATTTTATCACAACGATTTAACATAATTAAGTTAATTTCTGTAAAAAAGTATGATTTATGATCATTTTCTAAGTATAAATTTTTTATCTCTACCAAGTATTTTTAATTTCCTTTGATTAAATTTATTTCAATAAATTTTTATATATTTAAATTAATTTTTAAGTATGTATTTAATTTAATTTATTTAATTTTTGAAGAAATTTATTTTTCCCGATTTATTCCTCTTAAGAAATTTATTTCGTCGACATTTCTCCATTATAAATACTCAAACATCTTTACTCATAATTTAAGAACGAAGATGATTCACGTGTGATGTGTCCACCCACGCTAAGGTCCCTCAGCTTTCACCCGTGTAGATTGCATAAATCGCGTGTCTTCCTTCTTATTGGCTGATTGAATAATACATGTAACCGAATAGTATTAAACCGGCTGAGCGGGACACGCGAAGTCCATGACGCCTGTCATGTCGGGCAGGTCATGCGTCAGCATTTTGACGAGTTGTTTAGGTCGATCAATTTATCGCTTAAAATACATACATGGAATGGAATGTTGCGCCTGTATCTGTGTGTCGATTCAGGACGATTAACGACGCGATGTAAGATAAGATTGCGGATTTATGAAAGCTGTCTACTATCAATTCATCATTTTATACCTATTATACATGTCTATATCAGCTATTTAGTTAAACTATTCGATTGGGTTCATAACTATTATTTACATTATCACTCGTAAAATGTCAGCTGCTAGTCGTGACAAAGATTTAATATGCATTGAATAACCGTTAAAAAAATTTGTTCCGTAATTTTCCACATTTCTTCCATTATTCGTTTAAAAGGTAGATAAGCATTTGCGATGCTATTCATTATAATATTTTTGCAGAGGATGAAACGTTATTGATCCAAAGCGTACGGCTTTAACTATTGCCGGCGTCTATTACATGCCAGAGAAATTACGTCAAAGTACTGAATAATATATAATTTCCATTACGCTTGCGCGTTCCAGTACGAGATGCGCAACAATTCCTAAGCTCGCGAATGCATCCTTCGGAGGAGATCTCGCGTCGTTCGCCGCGGATGCAATTTTACGGACTCTTCTAAAAATATTATTATTTCGACGCGCATGAACGAAACGACGGTGGAATAAGTATTAATAACAGAGTATTACGACGGGGTCGAATGTATACAAAAATTACCGCTAAACTCATCGGTCGGCCACCTATAATCTCGTCTATTGAGCGTAATTTATTACGCATTGATATTTACAATCCTTTAGGGTTAATATCTCTCTTCGCGTCGCGACGATTGCCTTACCAACGAAATCACCGGTAATGCGAAACCTCTTCGTTCGAGAGCCGACCATCATGATCCCCGAGATTGCATATTTAACGCGCGACCAACGGAATTGACCTTCCTAGCCGTCCCATTATAAGACATTTGCGAATCAATCAAGACAAGGGGGCGGCAAATTTACATTTAATTATGGTACACATGAATATATATTCAAGGGGTATACATAATATGTATACCGCTATATTTCTTTGATCTCTTGCGAAATGACCAAGTATTGTTACTCTATAATATAATCGTAGTGATCTATATTTTATTACAGTAAATGAAGATTAATATTAAACATCAGGATATCAAGTTGAAAACAATTTCTTTCTCAAAAAAATTGCTCTTGACTCTTCTAAATTTATAAATTCTCATTGACAGGAGATGTATATGCAACGTGACTTCGCAAAAAAAAAAAAAAAAAAAAAAAAAATGATGATTTGATCTTATCCGGCGATTTGTTTCAATCTGAACAAGCCAGAGAAAGTGCGAACGAAAAATCAATGTAGTCGTTTATCGGCAATCGAAGACCGACTCGCGCGTACAACGTTTGTTTTCGGCCGCACTTCAATTTCGCGCGCGCGCTTATTTCCCGTGAATTTATTGCTGGGCCAGAGCTGGAGAGATGGTTCTTTCCAACGTAGCACGTATACACACGAAACGCGGGGGCCAGCCGTTGCATAAATCACAATGAAACGCACGCCTCATTATACTTGCAGGCACTCGTGTAATTGCGACGGGCGTGTTCGGCGCGATATTTACCCGTGCAGATCTGCCCGGCCGGCCGGCTGCATATATGTATGTTTGCATTTGGGCGCTATTTTTTTTTTACTCGCTCTCCATCGCACCTCGCACTCGCCCCTTCTCTCTCGACTCATCTCTGCGAAATCCGGTGCTTCTCGCGACCGGAAACGGGAGGCCGGATATGGGCGTAACGCGCGGCGTAGTTTTAAAAGTGACGCGTGCAACGTGGAATTATACATTTTTATTTGCGGAAATGGTTTTTACATCGATCCGGAGCCAGAGCTCATCGCGATTGCTTCCTCGACCAAGGCGAATACCGATCGCATTCCGGTTTACACGAATTATTTTCAAGATCGATGATAATTACTTTAAATCTCACATTGGTATACAAGGAAAAAAAAAGAATATCGAATCAAAACTTATACACTCAACGTATTCATTGTTTTGTATATACGCAACAATCTATAATCTACTTATAAGAATTTAATAATTTTAAATTTCAACAATATTACAGTTTTATTTCAATATTATAATTGTCACCTAAAGAATAAAATATAATTATCTTGATAATTATTATTATAATCTTCGATTTGAAAATATATTATTTTCTATCCAACATATTTTCCTTTTCATTCAAGAAAATTATTCTTAAATAATAAGAATATATTTTTCTTGGGTGAACTATATAAAATGGTCTCATTCAAGCAAATTTTCTTTGTTTAACGCAATATAATTTCATTTCAAGATTTCCATGTTGAAACTAAATCTAAAGATATTTTCAAAACGAGAATTTTTTTTTTATGTGTACATATGTATAATGAACGATGAAAAATCAAATTCAACATGCAATTGTATCGTATCGATGTATTATGATGGATTTTTTTTCGAAATGACTATAAATGTTTCATTTTGAGGGAGATTTTGAAATAATTTCAAAAGTTGTTGCAAAAGACATATATTAGCTATGCTTCTCATTGTGAATATTTAGCGTTTTCGAGAGAGATATGATACAGAAAAACTGCATAAAGAAAGATTTAATAGCTTTTTCTGAAAAAATAAAATTTACTCATATTCTTGAATCATTTTTGTGACAACAGATTCCGATATTTCCAATAAAAAAAGAATGTGAATTCTAAGAAATGTTATAATCGTAGAAAAATAGTGCCTAAATAAATATAAGAAATTAATGTGAAGCATGTTGAAAATTTTTTCAACAATTTCATTTTTTTTTTCATCAAATTCATGCATTTTTTCCAAACAATAGCTCTCATTATAAATGAATTATGTATACAATGTATTAAACTACATCTTGCAAAAATTATCTATTTCGATAAAACTGATAAGAATCACGGAATAATATCAATAATTATCACATTATAGATAGCGCGATATCCAAAGAGGATAGGAATGTCTATCTAGTCGTTTCTACCATCGATAGATCACGGTAAATTGCTCGGTGAATGCCGTTGGCACGAAAGTACGACGGCAAAACGGTCGGAGAATACGCGCATATCGCTATAAAGACGTCGACGCAATTAATTACGTACCGGTCGAAGCGCGTATCGTGGCGGCGATCGTTATCGGCATAATCCTTAGTTACGGTATCGATACTCGAAACGTTCTACCCTCCTCGGCTTTGGCTTTGATGAATTGCGCTGAGCGCGCGCGGTTCACCGGAACGCGCTCGACGGACGTCGGGAAAGGCATATAACTCGCCATGAAACAATGAACCTCCCCCCCCCCTCCGATTGTATCTATGATCGTCTCATGTAAATGGAGCACCGCTGTCGGATAAATACGAGCTGGTATAAGAGACGGCTTTCAGGTGGGGCTGTCCGTCGAATTCGTCACGGATCGTTATTCAAAGCTGTTCGGCCGGCGGCAACGAGTCCGAGAAGCGATGCGGCGCGACTATTAACCGGCGTTTAAGAGGCGCGATATTGAAGTTATTGATACCTCGGCGACAATTTATTGCGGGACTTTGCGTTTTAGGCGCCGCAAAGGCGCGCGCGTCTCGATTCAACGCGTTTTACATGTCCGTGGGCGCCGGTTACCGTGGAGTTTCTCTCTCTCCGAATCCGCTAGCTAGATACACCGTTTCAATTGTCGGAATACCAAAGGTCCAACCGGGAAAAGAAATAACCGTTATTTCCACGCTCGATGTTGTAGCGAGTAAAAGAATTACGATGTTATTTAACATGAAAAATTAATCCCCGCGCGTGGACAGATGGAAAATTATATGTTGGTGAAAACGCGCGACGCAAATGTAACGCAATGTATTTTGCATAGAAGGGTAGCGGACGATAAGTAGAAGGAGGACTATAAACTTTGTTTTGCTACGCATGGTTGCTACTGAAATTC